TTGTGCAAAATTTGAGATAATACGAGAAAATATAAACGCAAAAGACAAGACAACAGATTTACGTGGTTCACCAATAATTTGGCTACGTCCACGGGAAGAGAGGGAGCAATTTTATTATGGAGAGGCAAAAACAGAATTACAGAATAGGGTTTCCCATAGCGTCTATATATAGTGCTAAGCTACGCCCTAACAGGCTTGGGCCCAACATACAGAATCAATAGAAAATTAAGGGCCCAATTCAAGGCATTCAACAGGAACATATAGGGATCATGAACTTATCAAAGAGTTACCTTATCTCTTTGTTAACTGTTAAGAAATTAGCGAACCAGGTTATTCATTGTCTTGCTAGAGTGTCTGTTTCTGTGTCTGGTTCAATAGGGGTGAGATACTAACCATCTATCTCTTATTACTGATGTACTCATTTTCCATTCAAATAATACATGATGAAAGAACCATTTAAAAATAAAAAACTCTATTAATGACTAAATTAACAAATAATTCAGTAGTATATCCGCTATAACTTAGTACTTTCTTTTGGTAAAACCATCCCACTTCTTTGCAATGGCAAGATTAAGGATCTGTTTGATCATGAGAATTATTCTCCATTTTAAGGTTGTTATTTTGTTTTAATTAAAAAATTATTGTTTGATCGTGAAAATTTCAAATATGACTTGAAGTTAAACAAATTTTCCAGTTATTTATTAGCATTATTTTAGGAATTGATTGAGAAAAAAGGGGAGGATTATATTACATTTCTTCATCTATGGGAAGTAAGTTTTATATTTTTCTACTTTTGACATATCAATGTTTAGGCATGATACATAAACGCACTCTTTAAATTCACTTCATCTTGCGTTTATGTTTTTCAATTTTGGATGCATGAGTAGACACTTACACTAAGTTTGGATCATTGTTATCCATTTTATTGTATTGTATCGTTACTATACCTATAATGTTTGTTTTGATTGTTCTTCAAAATGTATTGTATTGTATTGTATTGTTAAATTTTGTTGTTACGGGACAATGAAAATCCCTATTTTATGGAACAACCAATTTGATGTATTTCTGTTGTTACTTAATTTCTTTTTACAATTATATATTTACATAATATTTCAAAATATTAATTTACCTTTTACCTTAATTATTTAAATTTAACCAAACCTCCTACCCTAGAATAATTAAACATATTTTAGTAAATTTATAAATTACAATACAGTACGATATGATCAAACCAAACAATTAAAATGTTATTAAACAATAATAAACAATACAGTCTAGCCAAACATTGTATCTACATACAATACAGTACAATATAGTACAATACAATACAATATATTATGAAACAATGGGTAACAATAATCCAAATAAAGTGTTAAATTTGTATAAAATTGAATAAGTAATTAAACACACACGTCTTACATTACATAATACACGTAGGACACCATGTAGGATGGAAAATTGCCATGTAGGATGCCACATAAGACGTACATGTCTACTTGTTCAATTACATACAAATTTAAGTGCTTATTTGTGCATATACAAAATTAGAAGTCAGACTATAAATGCCAAGTCAAAAGGATATTCTATATATTATGCCTAGTGTAACGTTGTTTAGTTAATTAAAGTTCTCAAATTGTTATAAGTTTGGACCTACATTCCACATGTTTATCAAAGAGAAGGCCACACACAACTTGTGTGAGACTTGAGTAAATATTTTCCCTCAACACAATGATGTATTGATTCCGGTTAAATTAATTTTTATAGGATTTAAAATAAATTGAGCTAATGAATGGACAGATCAATAACTCGTCCAAACTGTAAAAAGTTGGACAAATTGAGTTTCATATACAATATACACATAGGGGCACCAAGGACCATTACCTCCCTATTATGTCATCACTAAATTAGTCACAAACTAGTTCATAATTCTACTTAATTTGGTTAATTAACACTAAGATATTAAAACAGAGATAGATTAAATGAAGTGACAACCCTCAATCAAGAAGAAGATATATAAAAGTGATAAATTGAGGAAGAAAAGGCTAATATTATTTAGAAAAATATCGAGAACTTCTATATGAAGTATTTGGCCCTCCTAGGCATAATGATGACATTGATGAGAAGTGCATATTATCTCTTATTTACGTTTTCTAATTTCTAAAATGTCAGCCAAGTTATGTTCAGTAGAATGTTTGTGGGATAGATAATTAAACTATCCATTCCAAGCTTTACCTGGCCTGCACGTTCCTCCTCTAGCTGGTATCAGGATAACAATAATAAATTTAGTGTAATTTTATAAAATAAGATTTGAAAATAATAGAATATTTCTTTCTTTAGGATTTGTAATTAAATCTATCTAGCAAAATACATGTAATACACTATGTAGATACAATTTGTCTTATAAGATGTTACGTAGAACATGTATATCTATTTATTCAATTTTATATAAATTTAAGTATCTACTTTTACATGCACACCTAAAATTAAATAACATAAAGTAAAATGAAACTAAATTAAAAAAACTTATTAATCAAACGCGCTA